ACAGTGCACCCAACCTCCCCAGCCCTGGCTGCACACACTGCATGGGAGGGTTTTGAGCAGTAGGGGTCACATTTTGGTCTGTGTTTTGTGTTGGTCACTTGAGAATGGGGATCCGTTGTATGGATGGACAGACGAGGAGGGATGAGCAGGATTGGGCAGAGCTGAAGTTCAGATTGGGATTATGGAGTCAGATGTGAGTGGGAAGAGGAGCTGGGAGGTTGTCCTGAGCCAGCAGGGCAGAGGCTGTGATGGAGCCAGGGTTACTGGCTGGGCCAGAGCAGAGGGCAAGGAAGGAAGCATAGGCCAGGATCAGGCCTACTCCTGACTTGTCCCTCACCCACCCGCCAGAGCTGGGGGAACTTCCTCTGGTCCGCCTGGATTTCTCCTGTAACCGTGTCTCCCGCATCCCGGTCTCCTTCTGCCGCCTCAGGCACCTGCAGGTCATTCTGCTGGACAGCAACCCCCTGCAAAGCCCACCTGCCCAGGTGAGGTTCAGGCTGGGTGGACCTGGGGACAGGGATTCCATTAGGCCAGGGTGTGGAGGGGACCCTACGGCAGCTCAGCAGGATCTGGGGAGCCATTTCCCTCCCTCACATCCCTACATGTGCCTTCTCACAGATCTGCCTGAAGGGGAAACTTCATATCTTCAAGTACTTATCAACAGAGGCTGGGCGGCGTGGGGCTGCTCTGGGGGACCTGGCCCCCTCCCGCCCCCCGAGTTTCAGTCCCTGGTAAGTCTCAGTGGGAATGAAGGAAGCCCCTGGGTACTTTCTGTCTCTTCCTGGCCCCAGGGACCCCCCTGGATTCTGGTGGGAGGCTGAGGAGGGCTGGTGCTAGAGTCTGACCAGTTTCCCTGGCTGCTCCAGCCCAGCTGAGGATCTATTTCCGGGTCGTCGGTATGATGGTGGGTTGGACTCAGGCTTCCACAGTGTTGACAGTGGCAGCAAAAGGTGGTCTGGAAATGAGGTAAGGGCCTCCTTTCCACGGGCTGTCGGTGGTGCGAGAGGACCTCTGGCCTTGGGACTCCTTGTCTGGTACCTCTGAATCTCAGCTGCCAGGCGGTAGCTGGAGCTCTTTCTTGCCTTCCCCACTGTCCCTGCAAGGGCTATCTTGGCAACAGACCCCAATCTCAGTCCCTCACCCTTCTGCCTTGTGAGCCCCCCTCCCGCCTCACCCCTCTGCCTTTACAGTCAACAGATGAGTTTTCAGAGCTGTCGTTTCGGATCTCAGAGCTGGCCCGGGAACCTCGAGGGCCCAGGGAACGGAGAGAGGATGGCTCTGGTGAGGGGAGTTGGGCCAGGGAGGCCAGGGTGGGTGAGGGCTGTGGGCCCCCTCCTTCGTGCTGACTGATGTGCCTTGCCCCCTCCAGCGGATGGAGACCCCGAGCAGATTGACTTCATCGACAGCCATGACCCTGGGGAGGATGAAGAGCGAGGTGTAGCTGAGGTGAGGATCCAGCTGTGACCCTCCTCCAGGAAAAGGGGAGCTGGTGGGATTGGGGTGTTGTGTCCGGGGTCCAGGCCACCCCTTACCCTCTGCTGTCTCTCCTCAGGAGCAGCGGCCTCCTGAATTAAGCCCTGCGGCAGGGGACGGGGAGCGGGGACCCAGCAGCAGGTACCCCAGCCCCTGAGCCCGCACCCTGCCTTTTACTGCCAGCCCCTCGCCCCTCTCCTGGCCCTGAAAAGGGTGTCCTCCTGTGTGTCCCCAGGCATGAGGAGCCAGCAGGGGAGGAACGGCGGCGCCCGGACAGCTTGCAGCTGTGGCAAGAACGGGAGCGGCAGCAGCAACAGCAACAGCAGAGTGGGGCTTGGGGGACCCCCCGGAAAGACAGGTGCAGGCCCAGGGCTGGCCGGAGCTGCTGCTGGCCAGTGGACTCCATGTGGGTTGATGCCACTTGGCCCCCGGGCTGCAGCCTGCCTGCCAGCTGACTACCTCTCCTGTTCTTCCAGTTTCTTGAAGCTGGGCATCAGGGCCACGGGGGGCAGAGCCACCCCATCCACTCAGGCCACCCACAAGTAGGTTCCCTCCTGGACGCCTGTCCCCAGTGTCTTCTGACCAGCCTTCTAATTCCCTTCTGTCTCTCCTCAGTGGGCCTCCCAAGCCCAGTGCCACCCCACTGGGAGCTTCAGGGGCACAGGGAGCCCCCACACCTGCTCCCGCCTCCCAGGAGCCCCTTCCTGTAGTTGGACCAGGTGGGTGGGGACTTTGGGAGGAGGATGGGGGTGGCTGGGACTTGGTGGCCTGAGGGAAGAGTAGGACACTGAGAGGAAGCCTCTCTCACCTGACCTCACCCCTGGCTCCGGCCCCCAGTGATAGCACCTGCTCCCCGGCCACATGGCTCCATTCAGAGACCAAACAGCTTCCTCTTCCGCTCCTCCTCTCAGAGTGGCTCAGGTGGGTCTCCCCGCTCCTCCGCACTGCCCTGGCTGTGGCCAGCTAACTGGGGGGCTGGTGTCATTTCTGGCCTATGGGTTCTCCATGTCTGTTGCCCCTTTGTGTCAGAATTCCACAAGGAGGCTGGAGGGGGGTGCCAGCTCCTGGGAGCTGGTGACAAAATCCATGTGGGATGACCCTGTGTCTTCTTTTTTTCTTCTAGCCCCTTCCTCACCTGACTGTGTCTTGAGACCTCGGCCTCCCAGCCAGGTTTCAGATGAGAAGGAATTAATGTCTCAACTGCGCCAGGTAAGCAGAGGCAGCACCATGTGGGTGTCCTGGAGTCAGAATGGCACCTCCTTTGCCCAGGTCCCTCAATACCCTCTTTCCTACCCTCAGAGCTACCCTGAGGTGGGATGGGGCAGACGTGACTTCCCCAATGACACCTCTTCCCCAGATCCTTGAGTCAAGGCTGCAGCGGCCCCTGCCCGAGGACCTGGCTGAGGCTCTGGCCAACGGGGTCATCCTCTGTCAGCTGGCCAACCAGCTCCGGCCCCGCTGTGTGCCCTTCATCCACGTGCCCTCTCCTGCTGTGGTCAGTGGGGTGTGGGGGGTGGGGGGGTGCGGGGGCGCCAGTGGCCTCTCCCTCACCCTCTGTTCATTTCCTACTGTTTTAGTATGTTTGTAGTACATAATGATTATTCATCATGGGGAGTTGGCACGTGTACATAACACATCTTAGTTCTTTTTACATCCCCTTCCCCTCCTCTCTCTCTGTTCATTTCTTACTTGCAGCCAAAGCTCAGTGCCCTCAAGTCTCGGAAGAATGTGGAGAGTTTCTTAGAAGCCTGTCGAAAAATGGGGGTGCCCGAGGTATGAGGGTTGTTCCGTGCTCTAAAGGGTGGTGGTGGCCGGGGCTCCCAGAGCCCTTTGCATGGGTGGCAGGTTCCATTCACAGGGTGTCTGCTCCCCAGAGAAGCGGATCAGCGCACCCTGCCCTGCTCGCCTCCCTGCCCCGCATGTCTGCATGTTGGCGTGGCCCTGGCCTTGGCCTGTGAGGGCGGGGTGGGCAGGACTGTCTAGCTGCTGCTGCTGACATCTGTCCTCTGTCCTTGTCCACTGCCCTGCCCTCCTTCCCAGGCTGACCTGTGCTCGCCCTCGGATCTCCTCCAGGGCACCGCCCAGGGGCTTCGGACCACACTAGAGGCTGTGAGGCGGGTGGGGGGCAAGGCCCCCCCACCTGCCTGGCCCCCCTCTGGTCTGGGTGGCTTCGTCTTCTTCTACATGGTCCTCATGCTGCTGCTCTATGTCGTCTACACTCGGCTCCTGGGCTCCTAGGGCCGCAGGCCCCCTCCCCATTTCTATTTATAAGATTCCTGCTCACCTCCCGACCCTCACCAGTGGTGCCTTCAGCCCCTACCAAAGACACTAGTGTACCCCTCACAGACACTGACCTCAGAGGCCCCACTGTGGTGCCCCCGAACCCTGGGCCCCCGGCTCTGGCCTCCCTCCTGCAGCCCCTGCCCTGCAGTGCTGATGGTGCCTTCAAGCCTCTCCTGCTCTGGGCTGCCCCGTCCCCCCAGGGATGTTGAGAGCTCCACTCTTTCCCTCCTTTCTCCTCCCTCCCCCCACTGGCTGCTATGGGGGGCTAAATTATCTCTGTTTTGTAGAGAGAACTCTATATTTGTAGAGGATGTGGGGGCCCTGGATGGGTCCCCGGCTCTGTGTATAAACTGTACAGACTGTGGCCGCCTGTGTGTGTGTTTGTGTCTGCTCCTGGTTGGCCCCTGGGCTCTTGTGTGCCAGCCTGCCTGTTCGGCATTTCCCTCCAGAAATGACAGCCCCCTCCTGCCCACTGAGCCTTCACTCCTAATGTCAGCTCCCTTCTGTTACCCGCTGGCTTCTCCGCATCTCATTTGTCCCCAGGCTATGGGCACAGTGTCTGCCAGGGCACCCCGGACCTTCCCTCCTCCACCGGGCCGGGGCAGGGGAACTTAACCTGGGCCCCTCCCTTCAGGAGTCCCTGTGCCAGCCCCACCACATCCTGGAGGAGGAGGGGGCCCCGGGCAGGGGCCTCCCCCACATCGCTGCTGTGCTGCACGCCCTGCTGGAAAGGCCTTAGGGTGGCGGTAGGGGTGCAGGGCCTTGGCTGCCCACCCCTAGCCCCGAACAGAAGACAAGCCGGGGCTCTGCCCTCTGACAAGGACTTGGTGAGGGCGGCCTGGGCCTGGGGCACCGCTACCCCTGTGCCCCGGTGCGGCCAAGGGTCTGGGTGGAAGACACTGCCTGGATATTATGTCAAGCGCAATAAAGAAGCCGAAGCCCTCTAGGCTGTGAAGCCCTCAGGTGTGAGCGTGTCTGTGAGCGAGCGCGGGCAGGCAGGGGGCTTCCTGACAGGGAGGTGGGCCGCCTCCACAAGGCGGAGCCCTGCAATGCCCTCCTGGGTGCGCGCGGCCGGCTCACAGGGCCCCGCCACCAGGGGGCGCCCGCGGGGCCCAGCGGGAGCGAGCCCGCCACGTGGCGAGGAGACGCGCCGGGCACGGCGTCGCCGCGAGGCGTCGGGGAGGCGAGCTGGTCTGAGCGTCAGGCGAGATCTCGTGTCCGGAGGGAGCGGAGTGGGACCGGGTGGGTGGGTGGGTGGCTGGCGGGCGCAGGGCGCAGCAGTGTGGTCGGCTGCCTCCTGCGGGCGTTGAACGCAGTATGTTACCCTGGCCAGCGGGCACGGGCAAGGAGGCAGCGCCGGAGCTGGCGGGCAGTGACCAGGGAGAGGCCTGCAGCTCCAGAGAAGAAGCCCTGAGGGGGCCAGGAAAACCCCCGCAGGACAGGTAAGGGCCTGGCTGGGCCACTCGGCCATCGACCATCGGCCATCGGGCTGGGGGCCCCTGAGGCCTTTGCGCGGCTCTTTCTGTAAGATTTAAGAAGAATGGAAATTTCATTGTCCTCGGGGCCAGGCACCCTGGCCCTGCCACCAAGGTTAGAGGAGTATTTGAAAGGGGACGGTGAGTGGGGAGGCCCTGAGTGGAGGTGTCATTCCCTTCCCCAGCCTGCAGCCCACAGCCCTGAGGCCTGCGGGGCCCCGGAGGCGACAGCTGCTGCCCCGCTACCCGCCTGGCCTGGCTCCTGAGGGGTCCCCACGAATCCCAGGTAGGCCTGAGCCTTGCTGCCTTTGCCCCTGAGATCCCCCACTGCCTCTGAGCCTGTCCTAATCTGCTCGGGTGCCCCCCCCCCAGTCCCGCTTTCTCCCCAGGTGCCTTCCTCAGGGATGACTCTGTTCTCACCCTGGGACCCCAACTTCGGTGCTAAAGCAAGACCTCAGCCGGTGTGGGTGAGCTTTGAGGACCTTGGCTCTGACTCGGGGTGGCCAGGATGTCTCAGGAAGGCACTGAAGCTCAGTGACCTCTCCTGCCCTCCGCAGACACCCAGCTGCGGGCCAGGTGCCTCCTTCTCAGGCCGGACGCTGTGTCATCCCTCTTTCTGGCCCATGTACGAGGCCTGGGGCAGGGGCCGCAGGCACCAGGCCCCCAGCCTAGGGTGTCAGAATGGACAGCAGGCACCCAGGGATGCAGGTACCTCTCTCTGCTCAGGAGTGTGATGCACACACGTCCCTGGGACACGGGTGGGAGTCCCCAGGCTGCCACGCTCGCAGCTCCCTCCTCTCACAGGGTTCCCAGTGATGTGCTCTGAAGATGTCTTTTTCTTGGATCCTCTGCTACCCCCTGGGCAGCATGTTCCCCTGTACCTGTCTGAGGCCCCTCAGCAGGTAAGAGTGACTGCCTTTTGGTACCTCTGGGCTTGCGTGTGGGGTGCCTGGGAGGAAACACTTCTCCTCTCCTCAGGCCCTGGGCTCGATGAAGCTGCAGCTCCCACCACCCATCATGTCCCCCTCAGTCTACCCCTCCCAGCCCAGGGGTTGCTGCATGGCCCAGCTCAGTGGGCCTGAGCTGATCGCCATCACCAGCCTGCTGCAGATGAGCCAGGGGGAGCCCAGACCCGGCTCCTCAGGAGCTCCCCCGAGCCCTGCTGGCCCCTTGGAGCCCATCTCTGACCACCAGAGCTCTTCTGGAAGCACTGATCCATCTCTGCCCAGGCCCTCAGACACCCACTGTCCATAGCACCCCTGGGGCAGATTACCCCTCCTGTCCTTGCCCTGTTCTGTTGATAATAAAACTTTTGGTTTGCAAAGACTCCCTGTGTCAGGTGACAGTGTAGCAGGGAGGCAGGGAAATTCTTGTCACTCACTGGTCACCCCCTACTGTGGGGCAGGGACTCCACTGACCTGAGAAGGCCATAAAGCAGGGCACCTTTAATGCATGGGCGGTGGTCCACAGTCCTGGGCTTGAGCTGAGCCTTTAGGAAGCCCGGCTGGGAGAAGAGAGGGTTGTGTGGGCCCCTGAGTGGCACTGGGAGGAGCACATTGAAGAGGGGGCACATCTCTTTCAGAGGGCACTAGTGGTGAGATCCCCAGTACCCCCACACCTCTTGTACTGGGGGCTCTGAATTCAGCCCTGGGGCTGGGCGTAGCTGGCTGGGTAGTTCTTTGACTCAGAGGAGACACACAAAGTCGCTGCGGGTGTGTGGGGACCCAGCTGGTCCAAACCAGGAGACAGCCGGCCTGAGACTGATTCTGTAGGAACACTGCAGGGAAACAGGATCAGGGCTTCGGCTGAGAAAGCATAGTTGAACCTTTGAGGGGGACAGGAAGTATGAGGGGTTCTATAATTCTCTCCCTTAAAAGAATCCAACTTCTTAGCTGGGCTTGGTGGTGCATGCCTGCAGTCCCTGCACTCAGGGTGGCTGAGGCAGAAGGATCCCAAAATTCAAGCCCAGCCTGGGGAACTTAGTGAGACCCTATCTCAAGATAAAAAGGGCTTGGTGCAGGGTCCCTGGGTTCAATCCCCAGTACTGCAAAATAAATAAATCCAACTTGTAGGGGCACCTCCTCTGGAGGATTTCTTGGATGCCACAGCTGGAAGGGACAGAGCAGGCCCAGGCTAGCACAGTGCCTTTGCATGTGGGCGATGGCATCTGAGCGTTGGAGACCCTCAGCCACAGTAGGAGGAATGAGAAGGCACGGGGAGGGGTAACCTTCAGAAGGGTCTAGAACTTAATGTGGGTGTAGCTGTGTGAGAGTCGGGTCCCAGGTGCTTGGCCTCCACCTACAGAGGAAGGACAAGGTCCAGGTCAACATAGTTGAGGCTGCTGTTTCCCGGCTGTGGCCTAGCAGTGCCCATTCTCACCCACTTTGGCTGAGAACTGGATGCACACGTAGTCCCCAGCCAGCTCAGCCCCTGCAGGGCCCTAGCTGTCCCCTGAGAGCCGAGGTCCAGGCAGCCTGACCTCGGGCTCTCTGGGAATGTGCCCTGGTGGAAAGCTCCTCATGGGCACGTATTCAGTGGTCCCCTTCAATCCTGGTATGGCTGGCTTGACAAGGCCTGGGGCATCATCGCCAAGCATTCATCACAGGCCCCGCCACCCGCCATGTGTTCCTAGTCACTCCTGGCACCCATGGGGATGTAGCCCCTACCCTGATCCAAGCCTCTGGGGTACGAAGCGGCTGCCCTCAGCCTTGCTAAGGTCTTGAGGGTTACTTGCTCCATGCTCTTCCCTAAGTCTCCTGGTTAGGCCACGGAGGCCAGGTGCCATAAGATTTGGGGATAGGGGATCTAGAGGGACTCATCGCAGGATCCCCGAGCAGTGGCTCAGCCAGGCCACAGGCACCACTGTTCCCGAGTCTCTTCATGGCGGCCAGGATAGTCTCATGGATTCTTTGGGCCCCAATGGTGCCGGGTGCCTGCAGACACAGCTCCCTGGGCCTCGTGGGCGCCGAGCGGCCAAGCTCAGGGAAGAAGACAGTCCTCCTGGCTGCAACGGCGCACGCTAAGCAGGGACAGGTGTGGGGCGGTTGGCGACGGCCAGGTGTTCCCCAACCCCCGCTCCCAGGCTCCTGCAGCAGGCACAGCCACAGACGGTACCCGCCGCTGCTGCCCAGGCCTCGGGTCTGCCCCAGGCCCTTGGGCCGCAGCGTCACGGGGCCACACATCCTGGTACAGAAAGATAATCTAGGCCTCGGGCTCCTCGTGGGCGTGGGCGCTGGGACCTGGAGACGAGCTGGGTCACTGGGGGCTCCAGGGCCAGAGGCTGCAGCCACCGTGCCTCGGGAGCTGCACACGTGCAAACGCTTAAAGTATGAATCGTTGGGGACCTGGAAGAGGGGCAGGCCTGTGACGCCCCTCCCCTGCGCTCCGCTTGGCTTCCTGGCGGCAGAGGCGCGGCCCTCCCCCAGGGCGCTGTACCACGCCTGCTGCTCCGCCTCTGGCCGCCATCACGCCCAGGCTGCCGTCGCGGGAACGGATCTGGTGGCGCTGGCGTGCGTCCGCGCGCTTGCAGATGGTGCACGCGCCCGCCAGGCTCACGCGGCGCCTGGGCAACGCTGAGCTGGTGCGGAACTCGAAACTCTTGTAGCACTCGAGGCGCAGCACGTCGCCGCACAGCACGAAGAAGCGCCGGTGCTGGGACTTGTGTTTCCGCAGGTGGCCTCAGAGACGCACGTCGGCCGGGCAGGGCCAGGGCAGCGGCGGCACTACGGGCTCTTCAGCCCAGTCAGACTTCGGGGTGGCCGCGGGGTCGCCGCCTGCGAGTTTCATCTCGGTCACAGAGAGGCAGATTCGGCAGGGTCTCCCTCCTCGAGCCGCGGGGAAGGGCCAGCAGAGATGGCCTTTGAGGTGGCAGGCCACGGAGGGGTGCAGCAACCCGCAGATCGTGACCATCTAGGTGGCTGGCGTCTGTGCCCGCCTCCCGACTTGAAGTTTGGGGCAAGGGGAGGGGGGGGTTGCGCACAGCCTGTGTCCTGTGACACCAGGGCTCCTAGGACTCCTAGGCCGACCCGGCCGGGTCTCCTCCCTCATCCCTCCAATGATCATGCTCAATCCCCACCCCCGCGAGGTTAACCAGCAAAACTCGGGCGCCAGAGTTTGAGTCCAGCCTAGGCCAGGCGCCCCGCTTCCCTGGGAACCCAGTCTTCGCAGGGGCGGGGTGTGTGGCCGTCTCCGCCAATCAGCGGACCGGGCGTCGGAAGAGGGCCTAGTTCACCACAGACCGTGCAAGTGCAAGGCCGGGCCGATTGATTGCAACGGAGTCCACAGAGGTGGCACTGGTGATTGGCGATTGTCCCTTACAGCAGGTGGCGGAAGACGGGACTACCTCTCAGGGACACCTCCGTCACGCTGCCCCTCCTCACCCCACCGCTGCCCCGTAACGCCAGCCCCGACCCGTCAAAGGGGCTGACTTCCTGGAGGTTTCTTCCGCTTCTTGCACCCAGAGAGGTTTGGGTGGGGCTGGGGATTGAGACTTGGGCGGGGGGGGGGGGCGCGGCGGCGCAGGGGACAGGATCTGGCTACCTAGTTCAGGCTGGCTTGAACTATGTAGCCCAGGCAGGCCTCGAACTTGTGGTAGCCCTCCCACCTCAGCCCTGAGTGCTGGGATCACAGGTGTGTGCCACCACGCCCTGCTGCACCTCAGCTGTGACCCCAGGACCACCGCACAGTTGTGTGTGGTGAAGTGAAGCTGTCCAGTGCCTACTACCAGACACACCCCAGCTGACACAAGGTGGGGCCTTAGAGGACCTCAGCAGACCTCGTGATCTCATCCCCTTGGCAAGCAAGATCCTGGGGGTGGGGGCAGGAAGCTGAGGGTCTGGAGAAGATGCTGAGCTGTGGCCCTGTGGAAGAGGGTGTTGGGGAGGGGCTTCTTTCTGCAGGTGACCGCTCTGACCCAACAGGAGGAGCCTGGTTAATTTTTTTTTTTTTTTTTTTGGTCCTGGGGATCCAATTCGGGTCCTCACGCTTGGGAGACAGGCGCCAGAACCACTGAGCTAAATCCCCGGCCAATGGTTCCTTTTCTTACGGTAGTCCAAGGACAGCCTGGGCAGGGGAGGGCAGGACTTCCTGAGGAAGGGGCCAGTTTGTGACCTGGAATCCTGGCCTAGCTGGCGTGCTGTGTGCGGGGAGCTGGGATCCTTGGACATCTTTTCTTCTTTTTTTTTGGACCAGGGATCGAACTTCGGACCTTGTGCTTGCAAAGCAGGCGGCAGAACCACTGAGCTAAATCCCCGGCCCTTTTTTCTTCTTTCCTTCCTTTTGTGGTTAGGGTGGTACTGGGGATTGAATCCAGGGTCTTTGTACTGAGCTACATCCTAGCCCTTTTTTGAGACAAGGTCTCACTAGGTCACTAAGTTGTCCATGCTGGGATTGAGCTTGTGACCCTTCTGCCTCAGCCTCCCAGAGTGCTGGGTTTCTAGAGGTTATCACACCTGGCTCTTGAACACCTTTTCAAAGGCCATGCTGAGAGCCAGCTTTAGGCCACCGGCTAGCATCACAAGGATGTGTCTGGCCTGGTGCCCAGGGCTTGCTCCATGTGCCTTCTGGACAGCCAGAAGCATACCCCCCAAGCTCGGGGTGTAAGGGCAGTTGCCCAGAGGTGGTTGCTGGCCGGGGAGAAGCAGGTTTGCCACGGATCCTGAAACAGCCACCAAAACAGGACTACATTCAAGGCCATAGGCCCCAGCGTGGCCGGAGGGTCTGAGGCGGACACCACGTGTATGGTAGCAGGGTCATAAAAGGTGTCTGCACGCCCTTCCCTTCCCAGCCTTGCTGCCACCTCAGATAGCAGAACATGTGCAGGGCCCATATGTGCTCCCCACTCCTGGCCTGGAGCCTTAACCCCAAGGCTTGATTTCAGCAGCTCAAGGAGGGTCTCTTCAGAGCTCCTTCCTGCCTCCCTCAACCCACTAATCTTGCAACACGTGTTCTTGTGAAATCCTGGCTGCTGTCACAGACAGCTCTGCAACACCCCATGTCATTGAGCCCTGAGGTGCTAGGTGAAGATGAAAGTAGGCATCAGCAGCAGTCCATGTGCCTGGGGTGTGGACAAGCAGTGGTGGTGGGTGGGGGTGAGGGTAATCAGTGCCAGGTGACTTGGCCTGCCAGGTACCAGGAAAAGCCTGGAGTCCAACTGGCTTACAGCAGTTGCCATAGCAACAAGAATGCCCTTGGCTTTACCCAGACAAGATTTATCCTCTTGTAGCCTTGGTAACTGGAGTTGCTCCCCAGAGGCAGGAAGTGCAGAACCTCACCTCTTAGAGGAGTGCCCCTCCCGCCCTGAGGTGCCACATTTGTAAACCGCCCCCCACCCTCAACGGGGTGTAGGGCACCACATTCCACGTCCCTTTGGAAGAATCTTGTGACCAGGGGACCATTCCCCTGGGAGACTGTGCTCTGCTATGTGAGGCCTTGTTTCTCTGTGGAGACGTAAGGACAAAGCCATACATTCAGCCCTGTGCTCTCCAGAGCAGTCACAGCGTTGGCCAGGGGCATGTGTCGAGGGGAGAACTTGGCTCGACTCGAGGTATCAGGGTGAGTCACTCTGGCCTCGTGGTGTGTGTCTGCAAGTACGCGTGCCCAATCAGACTGCACAGGAAGGGATACAGCCTCGTCAGCTGGACATTTCCTATCAGGCTGGAACTTTTTCCATCCTTTGCCACTGACCTGGAGAGGAGGCTCGATGGAGTGGGGCTGAGTCTGCCTATGGCAAGGAAGGCAGTTGCAGTCCTGCTCTCAGCCTGGGCACACAGAACTCTTGATATTTCTGCCCTGGCCTGAGGCTAACCCCCAGCACAACTTTGCTGGCTGGACATTCAACCCCCGATGGAGTCCACATCAGACAGAGGGACTGGAAGGGAGGCAGATCGTGAGCCCAGGCAGCAAGCAGCCAGTAAAGAATCCCTGGGAGACAGCACGGGTGTGACTGAAATATGACGAAAGGCCTTTCAGCTCCCGGTCCTCAAGCAGGGAGTTAGGAAAAGGTGAGAGGAGCCAGGGAAAAATAAACCCTAGACTTTGGCTTCTCTTCCTGCCTGGCTCTGAGCAGAATGGAAAATAGAAATACGGAGGACACCCAGGCATGGGGGTGCATGCCTGTAATCCCAGCACTTGGGGGGCTGAGGCAGGAGGATTGCTACAAGTTAAAGCCAGTCTGAACTACATAGGGAGATCCTGCCTCAAAGATAAATTAAAAAAAAAAAAGGACAGAGCAGTAACTAGAGAACACGGAAAATCCAGGGAGCAAAAGACAGGTCTACCTGGTCCCTGGGAGAAGGGAGGTGGGGAGAAGCTGGGCAAGTGGGAAGCCAGAGAAGAGGTCTTTCCAGAAAACTCTGCAAGGCACATCAGTGGATGGACCCAATCCCTGTTTGCTGTGGAAGACCCAGAGAAATCCCAAGAATGAGCAGCTAAAGAGCCTGGAGTTCCTGAGCCATGGTGGTAGGGGAGGGATCTCTCCCAGCCTGGGGCTAAACAGCAAGTATTTCCCCAACTCCTCTGGCTTTGTCACCAAGCAGCCTAGACACCTGGCTGTTGACACAACAGCCTCTGGTGGATGTCTGGGGGAGGCTGGTTTACCCCTGGGGTCCACTCCTATCTCCTTGGCACCTAGCACTTGCCCCTTCTGCCCAACCCTGGTGAGAATCGCCCCCCTTCCTATATCTCTGGAAGCCGAATCCCTGAGGGGTCCCTGTTCGGATACGCACTCCAGTTCTGATGGGGACTGGCTCTGTCCAGTGGCGAGCAGGTCCCGGGCCATCAGCCCAGGCAGTCTAGATGGGCAGTGCCATATCCAGGCTCAGCCATGTTGACTGACCCTTGGTCTCTCAGACTGGCCCAAAGCAACACCACAAGAGCCACTTTTTCTTTCAAATGCAGTTCTTTCCCAACTTTGCCTGCAAACAAGCTTTGGTGCACAGATTGGAGAGCAGGGAGGGAGGCCCATGGGGGAAAAAAAAAAATGAAAAAGAAAAAGAATCCCCAGCCAATTGCACAAAGCCTTTCCCTGGAAAGCCCTGGCTCTGGGGTGGTCAAGACACATGGCTGCCTCCCCATCTCCTGGGCTCTGGCTTTGATGGTCCAGGCACAGATGGGGTTCACCCCATTCCGGTTACAGGGCAAGGGAGAAGGGCTGGGGGTGGGCGCATGTATATGTACGTATGTGCATATATATATATATATTTTTTCTATGATAGGCTATATTAGAAAATTCTCTCTATGTATAAATATAAAACACTGGTATCCAAACATGACACTGACAGGTAACTAAAGTGCTCGACAGGAGTCAGGCATGTGTATATATGCAGATAAAACTATGTAACCCAGTGCCACAATGGAGGTGCTGGGGGAGTAGAACAATGGAGGTGGAGAAAAGCAGGTGGGACCTAGGGGGAAACCCAGGCCTTTTCAGTCCCAGGGCTCTCTGGTTACCACCCCAGGCCACACTCCTCATCTTTACCCGCCTCTCCCTGCTGTGCCTGTCCGGGAGGAGCACAGTGTTCGAAAGCTGGGAGGGGACACCTTCCTCTGCCCCCAGAGGGTCTGGAAGTGAGGGCACCGCTGTGTGTGCCGAGGGCAGGAGAGGAGGGTTGTCTGCATAAGTGGTAATTTGAAAAATATACTGCCATCGGTTCTGCGGGCTAGCCCTACCTGCCCGCCTCCCAGGGCCCCTTGGGTGGGGGGGCTGGAGAAGGGAGGAAGCCCCTGGGCTGCTGACCCAAGGCTCTGAGTCGTCTGGAAGCCCCCAGCAAAGCATGAGCACCTCCACCATCCTTGGGACCCCTGCTTGTAACCAGGCTCATTCTGGTCTCAGACCCACGGAAATGCCCAAGGCACTATGGGGTCCCAGAAAATGGGGACGAGGCCCCATCAGGGCACAGGGCTACAAGAACGGGTTGGTAGTTGGAGATTTGGAGGCAAATGGGCTTGGTGAGGATCCAGTCTGGAAAGAAAACAACATAAAGTTACTCGATTAGGGGAGAACAGCTGGAGGCCATAGAAGAATGCACTTCAGGATTCCCTTCTCCCCCCAGAGCCGAGCCGCTGTGTGGAGGGAGGGGAGAGCACATGGGGTGCAGTGTGGGCAACAGCAGGGCCAGACCCGAACTGAGACAACTGTCCCTGGTTTGGCCTGAGTCCCACCCCATGTCACCCTCTCCTGGGAGGATTCTGTCCCCAGCACCACACCGGGCACTCACCATGAAGGGGTTGGTAGAGATCCCAGCTGGCTGGCTGAGTGGCCTTTGCACCAGCCTGGTGGATCCCAAGTCCCCAAAGGAAGAGCCTGGGAAGCAAAAGCAGTGCATGAGTTGATATGACCAGCCCATGCTGCCTTCCATGGCTCCTCCTGGATCGGAGGCACTTGCTGCAGCGACGGCCAGAGGGACTCCTTGGGAATTCTGTCCTAAAGGTAGAGTAGCTAGCTGGACCACACAGGCAGGTCCACTGCTCCCTGGCTCCCCCTACTGCTCAGAAGTGGAACTAGCTCAGAGGTGTGCTGGGCACAGCACCAGCAGTGGCCCTTTCAATCTGTAGGTTCAGCATCAACCAACTGCTGATTGAAAGTAGCCCTTCTTGGGCTGGGGATTTAGCTCAGTGGTTCTGCCGCCTGCCTTGCAAGTGCAAGGACCTGAGTTCGATCCCTGGTACCAAAAAAAAAAAAAAAAAAGTAGAAAGTAGCCTTTCTCCTGGGCTTGTACTGAACATGCATGGACCTTCGTTCCTTGTCATCCATCCCTTGACAATACAGTGTAACAGCTATTTAGCATTTATATTGGTTTAAAGAAGACAGGAAGATGTGCCTAGGTCCTGTGCAAATACCATGCCATTTTACATAAGGGACTTGAGCCCTCCTGGTCCTGGAGCCAGTTTCCTATAACACTGAGAGGGGAACAGCCACCAGAGAAGGTGCGTCTGAAACCCTTACCATTCCGCTGCGGAGTCAGCGAGGTCTGCGGTGGGAACAGTGGAGAGGTGAAGGTGCTGGCAAAGGCCCCAGAGGGTGGCACTGGCTGGGCAAAGCCAGGCCCGGCACTGCTCATCCCAAACCCAGGCCCTGCGGCGTGAGACGAGGCTGAGGCCAACTCCCCGGAGGCCTGGGAATGGTCTCCCCACGTCCCTCCCTCCGGAGAGGGCCCCAGCAGAAGGGCCCTGAGTGAGCAAGGGACTCTTCTTCTCCTCCTGAACCTGCCAAGTCTCCTGTCCTGCCCAGAGCACAGAGGGCAGTGGTCAGGATGAACACGGGCACCTGGGGAGGTGTTTGCCCCTAGGAAAACTGCATACAAGAGGGCATTTTTATCCCTCAGCCCCAGCTCTAGTCTCTGAAATGGGTATGGTACGTGTCTCACAGGATAAAGAGCTCCAGGAGCCTGTGCAAGCCTCTCTCCTTGCCCTCGGGACTGCAGGCACCCAGAAGGGTAGGAGCAGGAGTCTGAGGACACAGAAGCAGAGGCTGCAGAGGGCCAGAGTGACAAGGACAGGTCTGTGATCTCACAGTGATCTCCCAGAAGCTTAGGGACACAGACAGGCTGGAGCCAAGAGACTTACTGCCCCTATCGGTCACATGAAAATACTCAGACCCGGGCTTTTGTTTTGTTTCTGCAGGGCTGGGGATAGAACCCAGGAGCTGTATGTGCTAGGCAAGTGCTCTACCATGAACTACAGCCTAGCTGCTATGGTTTGAATCTAAAACATCCCCCAGGTTCTCTTGGTCAGAGGAGGAGGTTTGGAAGGTGACTGGATCACGGGGCGCTCTATCATCAGTGTGCACATCCATGCTGAGTCAGAGCTCTATGTGCTGAGGAGGCAGGGCCTGGCTGGAGGAGGCTGGTCACTTTGGAAGATGACTCTTCTTCTCTGGCTCTTCCTGCCCTCTTTGCTTCCTGGCTACCCTGGGTTGAGGAGCCTTCCTCTGTCAGGTCCTTCCACAATGCCATTTCTGCCCTGGAGCCAGCTAAACATGGACTGAATCCTCTGAAACCGTGAGTCAAATGAACCTCTTCTCCTTTAAGTTCTGGTTGTCAGTTATTTGGTCCCAACAAAGGGAAAGCTGACCAATATGCCAGCCATTTTTATTTTGAGACAGAGTCCCTTTAAGTGCCCCAGGTAGGGCTCAAACTTAAAATCCTTCTGCCTCAGCTTCCCTAGCACCTGGGATTACAACAGGTATGCTCTTAGTTTTTTCCCTAACCCTAAAATTCTGATTGTGTGACTTGGGTGCTTTTGCTTTTACCTTCCTGTGGTGGCCTGGGTGAAAATAGGTCTGGCCTAGGCGGGTGAACAGTGGCTGGGGCAGCAGTGGGGCTTCTAGCTGCTCCTCCAACAGTGAGAAATGAGGGGTAGGGGTGGGAGGGAGAGCTTCAGGGGAACTGGACATGGTGGCACATGCCCGTGATCCTAGCACTCAAGAAGCTGAGGTGGGAGGATCACGTGAGTTTGAGGCCAGTCTGAGCTACAGGAAAGACCCTGTCAAAGAAGGGGGGAAGGCAGGGGACAATGTAGGCAACTTACCTGGGGCCAGACCATTGGGGTGGAACGGGTTGGTGGAAGGTAGCCGGGGCTGGGCTGCAGGGCTGGCGAAAGGATTGGTGAAGGCTGCTTGGGGTAGAATGGGAAGAGGGGGAGAGTTACTTTCTTTCACTCGCTCAACCTGTGATGACTGCATATTCCTCTGAAGCTTGACCTGCCCTCCCACCCTCTCCCTGCGCCGTCTCCACTCTCTCCCTGCCACTGGATGCGTCTGGTCACCCAAGGCAGGCAGGACTCACCTCCAAAGGTAAGTCCTGTGCTGCCGCCACCAGGCGTGGCAGACTGGAGCACGGGGACCTGGCCGGCCATCCCGAAGATGCTGCAGGAAGCAGAGAGAAGTTGGGGTGCTCATCTTCAAGGCCACGGGACACAGGGCCATTGTGTTCTCAGGGCAGGAGGGGGACTGAGAGGGAGGCAAGCAGGGCCAGCCCTGAGGGGTGTCCCTCCCCATGCCTAGACCCACCTGCCAGGGGCACCTCCAGCTGACACCCCGGGTCCCAAGAGGCTGCCCACATCTGTGAGGCTGCTGGGCTGACTGGCAGCTGCAAGTGGAGCAGCACCAAACGGAGTCACCTGGCTGCTTCCTGGGCCACCATGAGAGATAAAACAGGAAGGGCTGGGGTGAGACAGGGAGAAAAGGGCAGGAGGTGGAAGTGGGCGTGGTGGAGTGGGGCGATGGCGAGGAGGAAGCCCTCTTGGCTGCTCAGAATGTGCCGAATTGGCAATGCTCCCCACAGTGAGTTCCGGGCAAGGTGACAGCTTAGGCCGCCCCAAGCTCCCCAGTGCTTCAAGCTGCCACTTGGAGAGAAAGTTCCTCCTTGAGTCAGGCTATCCTCCCTCCTGCTCTAGTTTGGCTTACATGTCCCAGATGGAACAGTCTGTCTTTACTGACATGTCACACAAAGGGGCAGGCAGAGGAGCTGTGAAGGACAGCAGATCTGAAGCACACTCAAGAGACACACACAGGGAGTGTGCAGAAGCCCCCAGCCATTAGCACACTCAAGCCCCTTCCTCTTGGGAAGCCACCTTGATTGACGCCCCGTGCTTGGGCACATTGCTCCCAGGGCCAGGCAACTACGAGGGTCTCTTCTGTCGTCACGTCCAATAAGCAAAGCACAGAGGGCCGGGCCTGTATGGAAGTGTTACAAGTCTGCTGGAGGAGAGAGGAAATCCCAAGCAATATCATTGCATGATGCATTCAGGGGCGGAGTCCATCATTCCAGAAAACCCTCTTTAACTGTGTGTCCAACTCATCTGCACTTTGGGATCCTGACAACCACTTGGGGCTGCTGTGAAGGTAAACTGAGACCACAGATGCAGAGAGGCTGGAAGACTCATTCCTACTAAAGCCAAGCCAACTTTGCCTAGTATCCGCAACATAATGGTGCTCGATCGGTTTATGACAGGGGTATCTGACAAGGAGTCAGAAGAACTGGATTCTCGTAGCAGCTCTTCTACTTGATGTGACTCTGGAAAACCATCCTCTTCCCCTGACCACTTCTGCTGTACAAGAGATGGAACCCAGGGCCGCGTGCATGCTGGTCCTCTATCACTGGGCTGCTCCCCAGCCCGCTGAGTCCATTTTTTCATCCTGTCCTCTTGCAGGGTGGCTGTAAAGACCTTCTGAGGTATTGGAGAGGATTCTGAAACCTCAAGCGTGACACAACTACTTCCAGGGTCAGAGGTGCAGCGGAAGGTCTCAAAGGAACCACATGGTGGGTGTTTCAGATGGAAACCCAGTGACCAAGTTCTTCCCTGGCAGGTCCAGCCTCCAGCTTCGGCCTTCAACAAGAGTCCCTGGCCACTAACTCCTGGTCTCCACCATGTTTAGCACAAGCCTGTCTTCAGAGGGGCTTGCCCTGGCCACCAGGGTGAATTTGATCCTGGATTTTGTCTTGTAGCACTCTGCTCTTGTCCTTCACAGTACCTGACATGTTTGTAGTGCTGTGCTTTTATTTCTCTCTCTTTTTTTCCCATACTGGGGATCAAACTCAGGACCTTGTGCTTTCAATGCACGTGAGGTGCCACTGAGCTAAATCACTGGCCCCCCACCCTGTACTTTTATTTCCTTATCAACTGTGTTCCCAATGGAACAAATTTTACAGACATAATTTGCACATGTGCAAAACATGTAGGATTAACTGCCACACTAATTAGCAGTAAAAGGCTGGAAACATACAAAATAGTCTACAGGGAGATGATTAGATGAATAATGACATATATATACGATGGAGTATTTATGTGCTTATAAAAGAGAACAAAGAGGGCTGGAAGCTGAGCTTAGCAGTAGAGTGCATGCTCAACGCCAGGTGTTAGGTTCATTAACAGTACTGTTAAAGTAAAAAGATAAAGCTGGGTGTGGTGGTGCATGCCTGTAATCCCAGCCCTCTGGGAGGCTGAAGCAGGAGGATCACTAGTTTGAGCCCAGCCTGGACAACTTAGCAAGATCTTGTCTCAAAATAAAAAGTGGGCTGGAGTTGTATCACAGTGCAGACCAAGAAACATAAAAATCAAAGTGCAGAACACTATGTACATTTTGTTATAGAATGCATAAAAAATGAGGCCAGACTCAGTGGTTCTGGCACCTGCCTTGCAAGCGCAAGGTCCCGAGTTCGATCCCTGGTACCAAAAAAAAAAAAAAAAGTATAAAAAAAGGGAGAACAGAAAGATTGGAGAGCAAGGGAGCCAGGAGCCGGCAGACAGCATGGACAGGGCGGAAACGCCTGGCAGCACAGGCAACTTTAAATGTATCTGTAGAAAACAGAGAAAATGTCAGAGAAAGTAGTGGTGAGGGTTCAGATAGGAGAGCTGACGGAACAAAGCCCTGCTGGAGGTGGGAAAGGACAAGGCGGGACACTGGGCAGGGAAGATCCCTTTTTTTTCCTTTTGAGAGACAAGAGGAAGGAAAAGCAGTGACGACAGGCAAGAAAATGGCAACGCCAGACTGGCTCCGCAGTCTGTTGCTCTCTGGCCCCCCATGGCCACAGCCTGATTTCTTTTTTCTTTTCTTTTTTGAGACAGAGTCTTACTATATAGCCCAGGCTGGCCTTGAACTTGGGGCAATCCTCCTCCTGCCTCAGCCTCACAAGTGCTAGGATTACAGGTGTCTGCCACCATGCCTGGCCCACAGCCTGGTTTCTTACCAGTACAATTTTTAGGTTTTCCTGAGGGACCGAGACCTGTGATTTGAATCTCCATGCTTTCTTCCCCTTCTAAAGGCTATACTCGACAAGCATGGTGGTGCATGCCTGTAATCCCAGCACTTGGGATGCTGAGGCAGGAGGATCGGCATGAGTTCAAGGCCAGCCTGAACTATATAGCGAGACCCAGTCTCAAAAAGAAAAGAAAAAAAAAGCACCTGGCACCTCCTGCTGCCAGGTCTTCAAGGCCAGCTTCATCTTACCGAGCTTCTGCCCCTCCTTCACCACCTCCCTTCCAACCCTGCTTTCTCCAGGAAGGCATCCACTCAGGGCTTCCTCCCGGCCACCACAGGATGCAGGCAGGTAGGGCTGGGTCTCCTGGTCCTCCAGGCCTTCACCCTTCAGGGAAGATGGCATTTCTGAGCAAACCAGCTTCGTCTCCTCCAGGAATCAGACTCTTCATGCTCTGGGAGTTCTCACAGTGCGGACCAGGCCTTCACCCCTCCAGGCTGCTGTGAGTGCTGGGCTGCAGGCTGCTATTCTGCCTGCGGACACTAGGGGGCAGAGCGGACCCTAACCTAGGTGGCCCCTGCCCCTTGTTAAGTGGGCTTTACACGCGAGCATGCACTTGGGAGCCTTACTTCCGCGCAGCTGGCTCGCACGCGCGCCTTAGAGCAGTCTGAGGGAAACTGCAAACTTCAAAAACCTCCCCTCTCCACACTCCTCCTCAGAGATATAAAAATAAAACTAGGCTTGTCAAAAGAGACACCTGCCTCTCAAAATCTCCTTTCATACTTCCTACCCAATATGACCTTGGTTCGTGCTGGGGTTTGAACCCAGGACCTTGCACATGCCAGGCAAGGATTCTGTCACTGAGCTACACCCCAGCCCCTCAATACTTCTGTGTGTCACACTCGATGGAACACTCTTACACTCTTGATCATGGTGCAGGACAAAAATGAGTAGGAAAGCTGAGACAGGAGGATCGAAAGTTTGAGCCCAGCCTGGGGGAACTTAAGGAGACCCTATCTCAAAATAAGAAATTAAAAAGGACAGGGGATTTAGCTCAGTGTGAATGCCCTGCGTTCAACCCCCCAGTACCCCCACAGAGAGAGAGAGAGAGCGCGAGAAAGAGCGAGAGCGAGAGAGAGCGAGAGAGCGAGAGAGCGAGAGAGCGAGAGAGCGAGAGAGCGAGAGAGCGAGAGAGCGAGAGCGAGCGAGCGAGCGAGAGAGAGAGAGAGAGAGAGAATGGGGGTCTGCCACTCAGTAGCATTTGCTTTTAGCCAAGTCACTGCTCATGTGAGCCAGTTTTCTCAGCTGCAGAGTGGGGATCTTGTGGACAATCTCTGTAAAAGCTCTTGGCGACGGCAGGAGCCTAATGTTGGTTGGCTCTGAATTTGGTTGCAGTGTTTGCTTTCTGAGATGAGCAGACACTGGACAAAGCATTCAGTGCCTACAGACTCCTCTCTCTGGGTCTGCCCGGTAAGCAGTGTCTTGACACAATCCTCTGCCAGGAAGCCGTTTCACACCCTTGGGTTCGGGTGCGGCTCAGCGCTGGACATGTGCTTGACACGCATGAGGCGCTGGGTTCAACTCCCAGCACCATGAAAATAAAATAAAAAAAGAAATAACCTTATCTTGGCTGTCTCATCTAGTGCTCCAATTCCAAGGAAAGCAACTCTTGATAAACCGGATATTCCTGTATCCATTTATATTCCTGCCAGTGGTGTACAAAAGGGTCCATTTTCCCATGCATGGGCCATTATCATTCTTTACATTTTTTGTCAATATTTATTATCCTTATTTGAGTTTCTGATTAGCTAGGTTGAGGATACTTTCATATTTTTTCTTTCTTTATTTCTTTTCTTTTCTTTTTTTTTTTAAGACCGGGTCTCACTGTGTAGTTCAGGCTGGCCTTGAACTCACTATATAGCCCAAGCTGGTCTCGAACTCACAGCAATCCTCCTGCCTCAGCCTCCCAAGTGCTGGGACTACAGGCGTGCACCATCATGCCTGGCTCCATATTTTTTTCTGAGTATCATCTGCTTTTATCCCTTGTCTGTTAACCCCATTCTTTCTGGCTTATGCATGAGTTTCACAAATGCTTTTGGATATTAACTTTTTTCTGCTTTCTATGTTGTATCTTCTTCCTGTTTCAAAGCTTTAATGTTCATTTAGGACATCTATTACCATATACAACATGACTTGTGCAGTATCTGTTTTTGAATTTACAGAGATTTTGTTTCCTAGTACATGGTCAAATTATAACAGGGTTATAAGTTTGAAAATAATATGGTGATCAAAAGGTACAATAATGTTTAAATTTAATACAGTAAAAGACACGTCAAGAACAATGGGATTAAAAAAAAAGAACAATGGGATGAGTGTGTTTGAATTGAGGGGGTGTTTTAAGTATTCTGAGGGGTACTAATGGCAATATGTATGTATTTTTTATTTTTTATTATTTTTGGTACCAGGGATCAAACTTGGGTCCTTGTACTTGTGCAGCAGGCAGCGAAACCACTGAGTTAAATCCCTGGCCCTTATGTATGTATTTTTAATGGCAATATATTTTTAACTGCAAGACTTTTTTTTTTGGCATCAGGGATCGAACTCAGGACCTTGCAGTTGCTTGTGAGGCAGGCGTGGTGCCACTGAGCTAAATCCCTGGCCCTGCAATACATTTTAAAAATTTAAACAGTCATTGTATTAGGTTATGATCACCTTATGTTGATCAAACAATTATGGCCATTTCCTTTTTTTTTTTTTTTTTTGGTACCAGGGATTGAACTCGGGTCCTTGCGCTTACAAGGGAAGCAACAGAACCACTGAGCTAAATCCCCAGCCCAATTATGGCCATTTCTATCAAATAAAAACATTATAGTGTGAAAATAAGTGGTATTTCTTAGGTGTCAAGATTCATATATTTTCATATTTATATTCTTGGTAGCTAGCATACCACCTGGCATGTGGCAAATGTTTATGTTGAATGAGTTAAAACTTTTATAAGATAGGGATAAATACAGTTTACATTTCAAACTTCATTTCTAAATCTTGCATGAGTTTAAATAACTACCAACCTATTTCTTATTTTTAATTTTTAAAACATGCTAAATAAAATATATTTTGAGTTCTTAAAAAAATTACAGTGTGTCCTCATCCACCTTACTCACTGGACCTGGCACCATATAACTTTGGGGTATTCCTCAAAGTCAAGTGACCACGAAAAGTAAATGTTTCAAACTGATTCAGGCATTGAAATAGCCAAGACATGGCAACTGAAGACACTCATGAAAGAGGACTTCCAGAACTGCTACAGAAAATGGCCAAGAATGGGGCCAGGGATTTAGCTCAGTGGTTCCAGCACCTGCCTCGTAAGCACAAGGTCCCGAGTTCGATCCCCGGTATCAAAAAAAAAAAAAAGAAAATGGCAAGAATGATGGGATATGCACGTTCAAAATGAGGGGGAATATTTTGAGGTGGATTGATGGCAATAAACCTTTTACTGTAATAAATTTTTTAAAAAATTAAACATTCACCATATTTTTTGATCACACTCCATATAGTCCATGCTGGAAATATAGCTCAGTAGTAGAGCACACGCTTAGTGTGTGTAAGGCTTGTGAGAGAGTATATTATAGTCTACTCTGTTGATTCATTAAATGCTCATCATGTCTAATAGGTTTCGCTCTGAGAATCTCTAATTCTTTTTTTTTTTTTGTACTTGGGATTGAACTCGGGACCTTGCGCTTGCGAGGCAGGCACCGGAACCACTGAGCAATCCCTGGCCCTTGCTTTGAGAACCTCAAGATTCACTTCAGTTACTTTAAGTACATGACTGTGAGAACTTCCTTGTGAGTTTTAACTTTTATTAATATGTCTCTTATTGTTCCATTAAAAATAAAATCAAAATAAAAGCAGCTCAGTAGTTCTCAGTAGCACAGGGGAAAGTCTCAGCTTTGCCTCTTTGTGGGCCTCACGGTTAGGTCGGCTGATTAACTCCTTTGTCTATAAAACAGCTTGATGGTGATAACTTAGGGTTTTGGCAGGTGGTGAGTATTGAACCCAGGGGCTCACACATGCTAAGTACATGCTCTGCCACAAAGCCCTGGTCAAACTGTGCATGGATCCTTTCAGAATGCAAAACTGTATGATCAGAGGAGCTTGGGTAGGCTGTGGGGTGGGAAGAATAACTTACCAAAGCTGTAACTTCCAGTTAGCATCCGACTGGCTGGCGGTGAGGGTGGAGAAGGGAGAGGGAGGGGAAAGAAAGGGAGAAAGAGAGTGAGTCATTGGCTTGTCCACAGACATCTGGGTCTACAGCGCTCCAGCTGCCTTCCTCGAGTCCAGGATGTCTGGAGGAGGAGGCAGCCCTGAGGCTGTGCACACTGCTGTCTGGGAGGAATCCAATGGTTTAAAAAGGCCTTCAGAGGGGCCAGGGATTTAGCTCAGTGGTTCCGGTGCCTGCCTCGCAAGCGCAGGGTCCCAAGTTTGATCCCCAGTACAAACAAAACAAAACAAAACAAAACAAAAACACATTGGGGCCAGGGATTTAGCTCAGTGGCACTGTTCCTTCCCTTGCAAGCTCAAGGTCCTGAGCTCAATCCCTGGTACCGCCAAAAGAAAAAAAAGGCCTTCAGAGCCTCCTGCACTTGGACTTTGCAGGCCTTTGCTCTTAGAGGGGTGTTGAGGACTTCTGGAGAAGACCTGGAACTTGACCCAGTCCTTTGACCCTTTGGGGGCAGTATATCACACAGTCAGAGCACTTTAGAGAAAAATTCCCATCCATGCTCAATTTTTCTAGGACTCAGGTCTTTCTCATTTCCCAGTCAGAAATCATCTAGTGTAGAACGCGCACAGCCCCTGCTGCCATTGTGGCCAGTTCCTTATGTGAAAAATAGGGCCACAGCACCCTCTCTCCTGACAGGCATGCATCACACATGGGACAGCTTCTTGGCGCCACTGCCTTTATTTATTTATTTTTTGGTACCGGGGATCGAACTCGAGTCCTTGCGCTTGCGCAGCAGGAGGCGAAACCACTGAGCTAAATTCCCGGCCCACCACCTCCTTTATGAGGTCAATGGGGACATGAATGAAGGGCGATGCATGGATGTGGACTGGAAGAGAGAAAGGCAGTGGGTGGCGATTTACCTGCGGGCCCTGGCTGGGCCTGGAAGGGGGCTTGGCCTGCAGGAGGGAGGCTTCCAAAGGCAGAAGAGCTGGGACTGCTGCCGAAGGCATCAAAGTTGGCAAAGCCCCCACGGGAAGGTGTCTGGCCTATAGGTAGAGGGAATATCAAAGTTGTACAGAGAAAATCTTCTGCATAATTACACATAATTGCATATCTACTCATTCTACAGGCCAAAGACCACTCTCAGGGAACATCTACTTGTCCAGAGCCCCCTTCAGAGGAACAGGGCAGTGCCCTGAGGCTGAGAGCCAGACTCATGTGGGGACTGGGGCACTGGAAGTCTCCAAGTTCACTCCCTGCATCTTTTTTTTTTTTTTTTTTGGTACCGGGGATAGAACTCAGGACCTTGCGCGGCAAGCACTGGAACCACTGAGCTAAATCCCTGGCCCTCCCTGCATCTTTTACTCTGATCTATGAGGCATGTTTTTGTTAGGGCCTAGTTTTGGGGGAGAATCATGTGAAAAAAAATTTTTTCTTTCTTTTGTTTTTTGGTGAGGGAAGGGACCTGAAAAAGAAAAAGGGAAATTAGATGCTGTACAACTTTGTTCGACCCTCTGCTGCTACTGATGTCTGAGAAGAGGGCAGGGGAAATCGAACACATGATAATCCACTTCCTCCCATCTTAATCGAGAGAAAGTAACAAAAAGGCTCCTTTAGGGTTCTAAGAGGAGGGGCTAGGAGCCCCCCCACCTCCCGCTCTAATACTTTATGGCCATATGTAACGCCATACGTAATCACTGCCACATGATTCCACCCCAGGCCTCCCAGGCATGCTGCTTCCGAACAACTATCACTTCATCAGAGTGAGGAGATCAAGAGTCACAGACAACTTGGGCGCTCGAGTGACTGAATGTGTTGTGTTACCGGCCCGTGCATTGCAGGGAGGTTCTCACTGCAGTGCCTGCTTACCTGCAAAGGCTGGGAAGACAGCAAAAGATGGTGTTGCCTGCGGAGCAGCAAAGGGGTCTCCACCGATGTCAGCCAGCAGATCGGTGCTGGCTTTCTTGGCAGAGGAGAGGGGAGGAGGCTGGGAGCTCCGGGCCTGGGCTGTCCGAGCCTGAGACTGACTGACAAACTTGGAGGAGAAGAATTGCATGTGGCACTTAGAATCCCAGAGAGGACCCAGGCCCCTTGATGGCTCCCCAGGCTGCCCCAACAGACGGGCAAATGGAGAGAGCAGAGTGAGCAACTGCCCTCAACTGAGAGGCTTCCCAGGCAGAAGGTGTCTTAGCTCCTCTCCGAACTCAAATCTAATTCATCTTCTAACTATGAGATTCGACTTAAAAATATAGTGTTTAAAATTTTAAAAAATTATAGTAAGGTACATTGTCATGAATCCCCCTCAAAATGCTTTCCCTCCTTTTGAACATGCTCATCCCATCATTCCTGCCACTTTGCTTCCCGTTTGTTTTGTTTTGTTTTTTGACTGCCACTTGCTGAAGCAGCTCTGGAAGTCCTCTTTCCTAAGTGTCCTTAGTTGCACTGTTGTGGCTGCTTCAATGTCCTGAATCAATTAAAAAAGTCATTTTGACTTTAAGGAAGAGCCAAAAGTTGCATGGTCCCAGATCTAGTGAATAAGGTGGACAGGACACTCCATCAAGTTTTTACTGCTTGTCTTTCCATTGGATAGTACTTACCAGCAGCACCATTCACCACATTTTTTTTTTTCTGGTACCGGGGATCGAACTTGGGTCCTTGTGCTTGCGCAGCAGGCGGCGAAACCACTGAGCTAAATCCTCAGCCCAACATTTTTTTTTTTTTTGGTACCAGGGATCAAACTCCCACGATTTTGATCATACCTCATAAAGACACTCATGAGAGAGGACTTCCAGAACTGCTTCAGAAAGTGGCAAGATCAATAGAAGAGGGGGACTCGGGCCGGGGATTTAGCTCAGTGGTTTCGCTGCCTGCTAAGCAAGCGGAAGGACCTGACTTCGATCCCTGGTAACAAAAAAAAGAAAAAAAAAAGAAGAGGGGGATTCATTGCAATGTGTCTTTTACTGTAATAGTATAAAAAGAATTTTAAACTTTCACTTTTTTTTTTTTTGCGGTACTGGGGATCGAACTCAGGACCTTGCACTTGCAAGGAAGGCACAGTGCCACTGAGCTAAATCTCCGGCCCAGAACTGCATATTTTAGAGCACATTAGTCAAGGTAACTCTGAAATACACAGGAATACAGCGCCCGACAGTGTCCTGGGCCCTCTGTTTCCTTAGAGGGAATGGTCAGGATTGGAGCTGCTGCTGACTTCCTCACACACCATTTCCTGTCTTCCGAGGGATGCAAGGTCTGGGGTGAGAGACGCCAGCTATGGGGAACAGCAGGGCTGAGGACCAACTTCCAGCTCTTCTACTGTCGTGTGATTTAGGACAGCGGCACCTGTCTCACCCTACCTCACCCAAATCCGCACATCCATGTGCAGGGCAGGTCTGACAGGTACCTGGCTTGAGGAGGCAGCAGCATCTGTGACAGATGGCACAGGGTCCCCCAGAAGTGTCCTCTGCGGCTTCCCTTCTGGCATGGAGCCCTGGACAGGAGTGGAGACACTGCCTTTGGTATAAGCGGGTCCCTTGACTTGGTCTGGGGGGACGTACCTTTGAGAAAGAATAGGCAGGCTGTAAAGAGGGCGGAAACCTTGGCCCGTGCTCAGATAAGGCTCTTGGGAAAACACAGGTTACAGAGGTCAAAGTCCTTTCTCATATTTCCTTTACAGATTCTCTATTTATTTATTTATTTATTTTTGGTACCAGGGATCGAACTTGGGTCCTTCCACTTGCACAGCAGGCGGCAAAACCACTGAGCTAAATCCCCGGCCCCAGATTCTCTCTTTAGGAGTAAGGGAATTTAGCAACTTTGAAAGTTCTGCCTTTCTTGGGACTGGAGTGTAGCTCAGTGGTACAATGCCTGCCTAGCACGCATGAGGCCCTGGGTCTAATCCCCAGTACTGCGCAAAAAAAGAAAAAAAAAGAAAAAAAAGAAAGAACATTCTGTCTTTGTTGAGCGTGCTCTCAAACATCTTGTTCATCCCCTACCCCAGCACTGGGGATTGAACTCAGGACCTTGTGCTTGCAATGCAGGTTCGACACCACTGAGCTAAATCTCAGCCCTTCTTGTTCATTTTTTCTGCAGGAATGTTCAGTTTGCTCTGGGTTGCTCCTGACTTCCTCCTGTTTTGACATTTTAAACCACTGGGTTTCATATCCAATGATGTTGAGTCCTATTTTCCAACTTGTTGTCAAGGTGCCCCTTTTCACTTCCTGGGTATTTCTTCTTCAGTCCTTCTCAGTCCACAGAGAAGGTGTCTGCCTCTCATTCTCTTAGTGCTCACAGACTGTCCTGTCTCCCAGGTCCTGCAACTTCTGATAAGATTGCCTTCCACAGCTGATAAGATCCCTGTAATCCTTTCACCATGGGAGGCTGAGGCAGAAGGATCCTAAGTTCATGCTCAGCTTGGGCAATTTAGCAAGACTTTGTCTAAAAATAAAAAATAGGAAAAGGGGGGAGTGCCCTGGGAATGTAGCTCAGTGAGGAGTCCCTGGGTTCGATCCTAAGAACCACATGAAAAAAGAACTCTTCCCACTATGGTATATGTAGTCCCTATCCAGGAAACATCTTAATTCTGACACATGATGATGAGATTCAAAAGCATGTTTGTTTTTGAGACAGAGTCTTGCTCTGTAATTCAGGCTGGCCTTGAACTCACAGTGATCCTCCTGCTGATCAAAAACATGGTTTTATCAATGTCAATTTCCTTGTTTTCTGTGTTGTCTTCCCCACTTTAAAGTCACCCCCAGCCCCAACAGATATATGCCCCAAAGACCAAACAACTGGAGAGAAAACCTGGAGACAGAAAGCGAAGGAGAATGGAACTGCTGTTTTCTTCATCAGGAAAATAGAAAACCATGAATAAAATGATGGGCTCAATGGATAAGGCTATAGGTCATGTGCATTCAGCCATCTCTTCCCATATATGAGATCAGTTGAGCTATAAAAACTACCCCCACTCCCATAAGCCTCTCTCCCCACTCCAATCTACAGTCTTTCCAAAAGCTGCAGAGTTAGCAGCTGAGAACACACTGTTTTTTCAGGTTGATTATTCTGAAGTCAGAAATTAGCCCTGATTGAATCTGAGTGGAACAGATTCAACCCAAGCCCAGCCTATGAGAAATGCCCACACCCCTTGGAAACCAGACCGTCAGAGGAAGCATGTGTTGGACACATGTCTCCACAGCAATCTCTTTCTTCTTCCTTACCATCTTTTCTTTTCATATTTTTCCTGGAGAAACTCCTTCACCTTCTGGGGATCCCTGGAATCTGGTATTAAAGATGTCCGAGCATCAAAAAGACCTAGCCAGATCTTCCTGCAGACCTGAAGGAACAGAACCAGGTGACAGAGGAGCTGGAGCAGAAAGCATGAAATATGAAATATGAATGAATATATCATTCCTCAATATACCACTTTCAATGTTTCCATCAATAGATTTATTGAGCTTGAACACAGTGCTAGGATCTGGATATATGAGGTATGATAAAAAATATGGTAAATGTTTAACTTTTAAAAAAATGTATTACAGTAAAAGACACATTGTCATCAATCTCCCTCAAAATACTCCTCCTCACTTTGAACACATCCCTTTGTTCTTCCCACTTTCTGAAGCAGTTCTGGAATCCTCTTTTGTGAGTGTCTGTAGTTGTGCAGTTGTGGCTGCATTCATGCCCTAAATCAATTAAAAAATGTCTCCCATCCACGGTCATTTTGACTCTGGGGAAGAGCCAGAAGTCACACAGTGCCAGATGGAGTGAACAAGGTAATGTGGACACTCTGTCATGTTTTTATAAGACTCTCTTCCCATTGGATGGCACTGAACAGCCGCATTCACTGGATTTTTATCACACTGCATAAAAACATGAATGAGGATTTGCAGAACTGCTTCAGAAAGTGGCCAGAACGATGGGATAGAAGTGAGGGGGCATTCTGAGGGGGATCATGGCAATGTTTCTTTCACTGTAATAAATTTTAAAAATTGAAACATTTGCTGTATATTTTGATTGCCCCTGGTACCTACAAATCAGACTCCCATCCTCACAGAGTTGCTAATCTAATGGGGTGTCTGTGCTGTAGACAAGTAAAGATAAATTTATAATTACACATGATTATCCATAGTGAAAAAGGAAAGCACAGAGCCATGAGAATTAAAGAACTAGGCTTGGATGGGGATGAGGTCAAGGACAATTTTCTGAGCCGCTGATTTTACCCTGTAAGTAACCCATTCATCTGTAAGCTAAAAGTACTGCTCACACCAAGGGCAGTAACTCCCAATCAGCAGATTTAGCTAGGGAAGGGTTTTAACTGACTTGCAAGTAAATGACATGGATTTAAGTACACGTAATCAAGGCTCAAGGGAGCGGAGCTCTCCCCAGCTCTAGTCCAGGGGTGGGCCCAGGTGTCTCTGAATACAATCAGCACACACTTCTAACCAGTTCCCTGAGTGCCTAGGGGCCACCCTACAAAGATGTTTCTCCTTCTGTTGATCCCTCATAAAGGGGTATAGACAAACCACATTTTTTTTTT